TGTCTCTGTAGCCCCTCAGGGAGTGGCTGCCCATGACTGAACTGGTGTCCACCTGAGTAGTATGAGAGGAAATCTTGAGGTTCTATTGCTCTGGCCCCCAGAGTAAAGTCCGAGGTCTGAACTCTGCCCTGCCCAAAGCGAAGGCTTACTGAGAGCGAGACTGGAGGCGTGCGTGTGGTATGTTGTGCAAAGCGCACCTGCAAACACGGGCTCTAGAAGCCCCCTGGACCCTTAGGGGAGCAAGTGTGATGTTGAGAGCGGCTCTCCCGAGATTCCCTAGCCCAAGCAGGAGTGCCAAGAACCCTGTCTTTATTTTGAAATTCTAGTTATTTTGATAATCTTGGGGTTGTGCGTTAATTTTGGTGTTTTAAAATGTTTATTTTGGTCATTGCCCCCTTACTTATGTTCCTGAAGTTTCTGCCCTACTTTTACAGTAGTAGGGCTCATGGCTGTAAGGATTAGGATACAGCTGATCATGTGCGGTTTGGCCGGCTTTCTGTGGTCTTGTAGAATGACAGGATAGTTGGAGTGGGGGACACGATGGAAGTCAGGAAGAGTTCTTCGAGGAAGAGGTAATTTTTGAAAAATTCTGACGACTTCTTGGAGGGCATGAGAGAGACACACAATGCTCTTGTGTGGTGACAGAGTGGGGCAGGGTATTCTAAAATAAACTGGTAATGCTAAGCATGGCCAGCCATGGTGGCCTATGCCTTTTGTATTCTGCCCTTGGGACAGGCATATCTCTGAGTTCGAGGTCATCCTGGAGTACCTAACAAGTTCCAGGAAGGCCGGAGCTACTTAGTGAAACGCAGCCCCAAATAAATACAAATAAAGCTAAGCCTACTGAATGAAGTCAGAGCAGAACTGAAGGTCCTTACCCAGCTCCTAAGGGTATTCTAGGGGTGTTATTGAGAAGCATTCAACTTCCAATCAGGATGTCTGTTTAGGGCTGGAGCAGTGGCTCAGCAGTTAAGAGCACTTGCTGCTTTTGTGGAAGACCTAGGTTCCAGCATCCACATAATGGCTCACAATTGCCAAAACACTTGAAAATAAATCTTTAAAGCCAGGTGTGGTGACTCATGCCTTTAATCCCATCACTAGAGAGGCAGAGGCAGGTGGATTTCTGTGATTTCAAGGCCAGTCTGGTCTATAGAGGGAATTCCTAGACAATGGAGAGAAACCTAGTCCAAAAACAAAACTAACTCACCCCCTCCCCAAATCACCAAGAGGATTTTGCACAAGAGGATGGTGGAGACAAGACTGTAAGGTAGACTGAGGGCTGTTTTTTGGTTCAATTATGGCAGGCCTAAAAAGCCAAAGTGAGTAGTTACTTTTTTTAGTGGGAAATGAAAAAAAAAAAGAAAAGAAAAGAAAACCTCTTAGAACTGAGAAGGAACCAAAAGGTGCATCCTAACAACTGAAAGATGCTACAAATGTCAGGAGTCATTCTGCAGCCTGGAATCCTTTCAGGGTTCACTAGTTTCTGGCCATTGGGTAGAAATTCTATATGAAAAGAATGTAGAATTTGGGCTGGAGTTTAAACTGTTGCTCAGGCACATTTTGACTTACTGCATTGAGCCATGTCTAATCTTTCTAGGTCCTTGCTTTTCTACCCATTGGGAAACTGTCAATGAATGAAGTAAAGATTCCCCACCTCTATAAAGTTAATTCTAATGGAGGGCGTGCAAATAAACCTAACAGGAAACATCTGTGTGGTGTGAATTATAAGGTAATAGGTGACCTAGATGGAGAAGGTAACCATCTAACTGGAGGCTTCAAGGCTGTGGCACCAAGCACAGTAGTCAGGACAGGCCCCATTGGGAAGAGAAAGTTTGAACAAAATTATGAGTGGAGAGAGTGTCCTGGGGAGGATTCCAGTGTGTGTGGACTGAGAAGCACCATTCTCAAGCCAGGAACATCAAAAAGCCTTGTGTTGGTGGGTCCTGTGATCTGAAAGATGAAGAAATTGTGAACTAGGTGAACCTGTGAGGTTTGTTTCTTACTGTAAGCTAAATGGACCAGCACAGGATTTTGAACAGAAAAGTAACATGGAACACTTTAGAATTTAAAGGATAATTCTATGTTAAAAGCAGTCCCAAGTACACCAGTGTTATCAGCAGGATCTCTATATGAAGATTTTTGTCTGACTCCATGTAAGAGATGATAGTGATTTACACCAGGGTGGCAACAAGGAAGGTCACAGGAAGAGACCAAATTCTGGTTCTATTTTAAAAGTAGAGCCAACAGAGTTTCCTGGTAGGATGATACATTTTTACTCACATAGAATGTGGAGTGAAAGAGACGTGAATCAGGTGAGATAGAGTTTTGGCTTGTGCAACTGAGAGGTAGAGCAAGAGAGATTGGAGATTACAGCACATCAAAGCAGAAGGTAAGATCACTAGGTGGATATCTGGCATGTTTCTGGCTTTTGGAACCTATAGATGAAGGGACCCAGCTTGAAGAGGTAGTAGACCCTTGAGGGTACCCTACCCTCTAGCTCCCTTCATGCCTTTCTCTGATTCTCTGATTTTCATCCACACTGAGCTGAAGGTCAGTCATTCAGTCCTAGTGTATAGGTCCAATACCTCATGAATAGACCCTCTGAAACCGGGAGTCTAATTAAATCTTAAACTGTTTATGTCAAGTGTTTGGCCATCACAACAAAAAGTAATATAATCTTCCTTCTTTCCAAATCTTTCCCACACCCCAGCCCTAGGCAACTACTAATGGAATTATAACTTGATGCATGGCTACTTTCACCCAAGGTGATATTTGCAAGGTCCATTCATGCTTTACATCAGTGCTGTATGTCCTTTCTACTGCTGAGTAATATGTCATTGTATTTAACATACCATGTTTTATTTATCCGTTAGTTAACAAATGGACATTTGAGTTGCTTCTTTCCAGTTGGGAACAAAATAAATAATGCCATTGTGAATATTTCTAAGTTTTAGTGGTAACATATATTTGCATCTTCTCTCTTTCTCTCTCTCCCTCCTCCCCCCCCATTTTCTTTTTCTTTTTCTTTTTTCAAGACTTTCTTTCTGAAGCTCTGGCTTTCCTGAAACTCACTCTGTAGACCAGACTGGCCTTGAACTCAGAGATCGACCTGCCTCTCCTCCTCAGTGCTGGGATTAAAGGTATATGTCACCACTGCTTGGTTGTGCATTTCTCTTGAGTATATGAGCCAAATTCGTGGGTCATATGGTAAGATTATTTTTCCCTTTTATTGAAAATAGTTTTTTTCACATAATATATTCTCATTATGGGTTCCCCTCCCTCTGCTCCGTCTACTTACCCTCCACCTCCTCTCCCATCTGGATTCATCCTTTTCTGTCATTCATTAGAAAACAGTTACTGGACAGTGGTGGCACACGGACTTTAATCCCAGCACTTGGTAGGCAGAGGCAGGCAGATCTCAGTGCATTCAGGGCCAGTATGGTTCCAGGACAAGCAAGTTCCAGGCCTGCCAGGACTGTTATACAGAGAAACCCCAGGACCATCTCGAAAAAAAAATCAAAACAAAACAAAAACAAAAAACAAAAAAAAAAAAGAAAGAAAACAAACAGGTTTCTAAGGGATAATAAATATATAATAAAACAAAATGCTAGCATATTGGAATTTGGCTAAACAAAGAAACAGAAGGTAAAGAGCCCAAGAAAAGCTCACAAGCTGAGACCCACCCATTTCCACACTCGGGAATCCCATAAACACACTAAACTGGAAGCCACAATATATACGCAGAGGGTCTGAAACAGACCTGTGCAGGCTTTGTACATGCTGCTGCAATCTGAGTTCGTATGAGCTTTGTTAGAATGATGATTTAGTTCATGTGAGCTTTGTTTATTTTGATTTAAAGGACCCTGTTTTCTCCATACCTTCTGACTCTTACAGTCTTTTCCCCCTCCTCTTCCATACAGGTCCATGAGCTCTGAGGGGAGGGATTTGATAGAGACATCCCATGTAGGGCAGAATGTTCCCAAGTTCTTTGATTACCTGCAAACTATCTGTCTGTGGGTCTCTATTTGTTCCCATCTGCTTCAGGAGGCTTCTCTGATGATGGTTGAGCAAGGCACTGATCTATGAGTATAGCAGGGTGTCATCAGAAGTCATTTTATTGCTACAGTTTTTTGTTTGTTCATTTGTTTGAACAGTAGTATTTGGTTTTACCCTAGGTCCCTGTGCTGTCTAATCTCAGATTCATGGTCACCCAAACTGCATTGGGTATGGGTTCAATCTTGTGGAGTGGGCCTTCAGTCTAATCAGATATTGGTTGATCACTGTGCTGGTTTGAATAATAATGGCTCCTATAGTCTCATATTTGAATGTTTGGTCACAAAGGAGTGTTACTACTAGGAGGTTGAACCTTGTTGGGGTAGGTGTGGCCTTGTTGGAGGAAGTGTGTTACTGGGAGATGAGCTTTGTAGTTTCAAATGCTCAAGCTAAACTCAGTGTCTCTATCTTCCTGCTACCTGCCAATCCAGGTGTAGAACTCTAGGCTCTTTTTCCAGCAACATACTTCCTGCCATGATGATAATGAACTAAAGCTCTCAGCCTAAGCCAGCCCCATTTACATATTTTCCATTGAAAAGATGTCTCGGTGGTCATGGTGTCTTTACTCCCACACATTTTGTGCCACCCATTGCCCTAGCATGACAATCCTGCAGGCAGGACAGCATTGTAATCAAAGGGCTTTGGGCTGGCTTGGTGTTTATATTTCTCTTTTGCTAGCACTCAGAGCGATGAAGGCTCTATGTAGGTAACAACTCCATTTCTCCATGTTCAATGAGTAGGTGTTGGGTGTTATCTTTAGCAATGGAGCCTTGCTCTCAGTTTGTAGAGAAAAATTTATAAGTCGTAGACTGTTTGGTGATTCCCATAGGACCCCTTTGGCCAACAACTCAATTCCAATACTGGAAACTCCATTTGGTGGCAAGAGATAATCTAGTTGGGATTCAGACTCTCCCTTTATTTGGCAATTTCATTTAGATAACTTTCTTTTTATTTTGGTGGGGGGGAGTTGAGACAGGGTTTCTCTGTACAGCTTTGGAGCCTATCCTGGCACTCGCTCTGTAGACCAGGCTGGCTGTGAACTCACAGAGATCCGCCTGCCTCTGCCTCCCGAGTGCTAGGATCAAAGGCGTGTGCCACCAATACCTGGCCATTTAGATCACTTT